GAGGACCAGCCCTCGGACTGGTTGCTCGACTACTTGATCCAGACGAGGGTCTGTCGTAAGGACAAGGACGCGAAGGACTGCCGTAAGCGAAAAGACAATCTCTGGCGCACACACAAGACATCGCTCTTCCAGCACATCGGCTATCACTCAAGCCTTGACGGGAAGGTCCAGAAACTGAAGGACAAGTTCTTTAAGACGAAAGACGTGTCGTTTTTCAGCCACAAAGACAACCCGTCGGCAGAAGTGACGACTTCATTGAGGGCATGGAAAGATCACACGATATCTAAAGCATATAAAGGCGACGATTACTTCTGGGCTATGGATCCTAAAAGTGGCGATAATATAACGTTTATGTTTACGACCGATGTTTTATTGGATGAAATTACGATCAATTCAGGCAACTTTGATCACCCCAACGACCAGATCCCAGACCAGACCATCCTCGAGATTATGACACAAATGTCACAAACGTCTGTCCAAAGCACCGCAAACTACACGTCTGTCGCGTCCGATGGCTATCACATCATAGGCTCGTTTGAAGACGGATTCATTAAATTAAATAATTTGCGAACTTTTGGTTTCGTTAAGAGGCTGAGGATTACGATCACTAAAAGCTCTCCCAATTGGTTAATACTCAATGAAATCTATGTAAAAGCCGTGTAATAAAACATACTGTCTGTGCATTAATTTTGTCTTGACACAATTTAATTAATTTTTGTTTTTATATGTTTCCATTGATTACTTAAAATTTATTTAAAATGTTAGCCACGATATATTTTACATTTTGTACAAAAATAATGGATCACAAACTATTTGGCATTTTATAATCAAGTGAATTTATCATCATGTTATTATTAACATATTTTAATTGTTATTTAATTATTAAATGTATTATATTTTAATAGGATTTTAAATTAGCAGCTATTTTTAAATTTATTATCAAAGTATAATAATAGAAAAATATTTTTAATATAATTATTAACTGAAATTTAGCTAAAAATTATCAGAGAAGTCAATGGGAAACTTAAATTGTATGAGCATATATTGTCAATTGCACAATTTATGTATAATATAGACATAATTGCTTACTAATCGCCTTGATACCTTTTGTAAATTACTTAATACTCTATATGTAATAGTATTTAAGGCGACAAAACAAAAGTCTTACTGCGAAACATAATACATAAGTATATTAATAGGAATTTATATTTTGAAAATTACTGGATTGTGAGAAATGTCAATTGAATTCATGGCAATCAGATGAATGGAAACTGAATTATTTGTAAAATTGCTAAACGATTGCATTCTTTGTATTTTTAGTGCTTAGATATTTATATAAACGTTTGTTTTGCTAATAAATTGTAGTATATTTGTTTAGTTTTAACTAAATTCAATTGCATTAGTAATGCAGCATTACTATTATGTTAATGAGAGTACCATTGATACAATTGTTAAGAACATAATATTTTTTAACTCCTTTTCTCTGATAATAAATAAATATTGAAACACATAAGTCTTAAATTTTTATTGTATGTTAACTTATAAGAGTTTTAATTTAATAGCTAAGTGTATCCAGTAATTGTTTGAATAAATGTAATATTATTTAATATAGATATAAATCATATAATTTTATTTATGTATTAATTTTCTATTGTAAATTTTTATCTGAAATGTTATGAACAAGTTTCATATATAAATTATAAATTTCTATTTATTATATTTATATTTACAAACAATAAATTTGATAAATAAATCGAGCAGTTTATTAAGTTTAATGTACTTTTTGTCAAATAATGCAATTCAATTTCTATAAAGTCTAAAATTACAATTTACTTAAAATTTTTTAATTCAGGAACTCATTATAGTTTGTCTGAATTTTGTGTAAATAACACAATTTTAATACTATTTACAAAAATATGATAGATAGGATTAAATTACTACAGTATAACATGCCTGAACACATTAAATTAATAATTTAGAAAATTAATTTATGATAAGAACTGAACATTTATTAATTGCTTATTATGTTCATTCAATAATCTATAAATTATTAGTTTATTATAGGAAATCTAATATTCTAGTTAATTTATTTACTATAATATTTTGATTATTAAATTGCAATTGTATACAGCTCAATCACTGGCACTCAATACTGTACTGCAATAGCGCTATTTATATGAAATATAGCATAAACGGTAAGGCTTTACAAAACTTATGTAAAAGTTTGCATCAATTGCTTTGTTTCACTGTTTCATTGCCGCTATTTCACAGCCATTTCATTGGATTTAGTTTTCATTTAAATGCCAATTAAGTGATCATCAATACTATGGCTGGTTATGATTGCCACAGTTTTGCTAATCTGGAGGTTCTTCAAGAGAATGGTCTGGCCATCGATGAACTCAAGTGCGGCATATGCCTGCAGATACTGGAGAGGGCTGTCACCACTCCATGCGGCCATACCTACTGGCTTGCAGACAATGGGTGTCCGGATGTGATGCCATTGGAACAGTTGGAGACCTGTAGCCATAAGATGTGCAAAACGTGTCACTTTCCGGACATCACTGAAGACCACAATTGTATGGATTTCTTGAAGACCGAGAAGAATAAATTGGCGCAAAAGTTAGTTGATTCCCAGTGCCAGGAGTATGAGTTGGAAAAGGAGTCCAAAACACTTAAGGAACGACTGAAAGAATCGGAAAAACATAACAAACGAAACGAATTCTTCGTCACATCCCTTTCCTCTCAATTGCGGACCTCTTTGGCACTCAAGCGCTGAATCCATTGGTTTTGCGAACCAATTACAGAGTGATCTGTAGATTACGGTTCGACCGCTTGTTTAACATAGAGTTGTGTCGGAATGGCATCCGATTGTCAACTGTTGACCAGAAAATGAGGGTTAAGTGACACGAACTGCCGTTTACTTGTATCACAGCTGTTGTACAGCGCCGACCCATCACTACCGGTGCTGTTTATCAAAATGACAAATTGCTTCATACAGTATGAAGCCATTGCTAGGTTGGGACGCATCCCATTAATCGGTGTCTTATATCCCGTATATGCCGTCCAATGGTTTGTATGACTTAATGGTATCATTATAATTGAGTTCTTATTTGATTGGTTTGTTTCAGTGCTGAAGGACCGCTATATGGAAGCGGTTATCAATATAAATATGATTATCGGCGCCTGTCTTTGAGTACATGACTTTCAAAAGACTTATGCAAATGAAAAGAATCATAAAATAGACACACTTTCGCGCAAATGTAATAATTTTTCAAATACTGTAAATCATTGATTAAAATCATAATTATTTAACACTAAATTCAATATCTGTTAACATCTTTTAAGGCCTGATCTATTATGTTTTGATACCTTTTCACTGATTTATTTTTTGTAAACCCAATTATTTGTCATATTTTTACTGTAAAATTATCGCATAAGGCATAGTATAAATTAGCAGCAAAAATACAGTAGTTGTGAGATTAAAAAATAAAAATAAATAAATTACAAGAACTTATGAATGAATTAAATCATTTTATTATTCTTTCGTAATTATTAATTATTATTATTATATTTACAGACACTTTAATTGCCGTTCACTTCATTCAATAAAAGCAAATCATAATATATATAAAGTAATAATGAGAATAAAATGACAGAAAAAATTCATATATATTTAACTTTTAACTTAAAAAAGTCATATTCTTTATATTATTTACAAATTAAAATTGAATTAAAACTTATAAATTTTTAAAAAATAATGAAATACTTTGCTTACAGTTCTGGTAGTCGTTTACAACAACAACACGTTATATAATATGTATAAATAGATACCATAAGTGAAGGCATAGGGCTTTAACTCAATATATAGGATAAAACGATAAACACAGTCAAATGAATTTTGCAATAATATTATCCAATGAACAAAATGGCATTTTTCTCTAACACAACGAATAAATTTAATAATAAAAAAGAGGTCTAAAACTCTCAAAACAAAATCTGGTTGTTGTGGTGGTCTTTGCGGATCACTTCGTCCCTCTTCTTCGCCTGTTTTCGCTCTTTTGCTCTTCGATTCTGTTATGGATTTGAAAGAAACAAAATTTTTGTTCAGAAACTGTGCGCAAACTATATAGACGTCAAAGTGCGAGGCCTTACCTGAAACCAAATCTTAACCTAAAATCGCGACCAAAATAAACGAAAAGAAAAACAAAAAGTTTTGTTTAATTGCATTCAAATATTTTGTTTGTTTTTTATAAGGGCTTCATATATGGGACTCGAGTGCGAGTGCGGGGATAGAGTGACAGAATGACAACACAATTGCAATGAACACACAACTCATGAATAGGTACTGCAAGTGGTATTTACCTGCCGTTCCGAAAGGGCCAGCAATGAGGCCAACTCTGACTTTCTTCTGATGGTTATGTATCGGCTGTAGTGGAACTCCTTCTCGAGCTCCAGGCGCTGGTGATCGCTATAAACCACTCGGTATTTGTCTTTAGTTCTTGTTTTAGCTACAAATGCAATAGAAATGGGAAAAACAAAAAAAAACTTTTTTTTAGTCAAACGAGAACTAATATCGGGAGTCATTGATACTGTAATACAGAGTCAATACTGGAGGAGGAGGACAGACAGGCCTTACAGCAGGCATTACAACGACTCGACAATGGGATCAATGCGACAAAGAAATAAAAGGTGCGATTCCTGTGATCCCCGGCAACTGTGATGTGATGCAGGCTTTTATAGTTTTAAATGTTTGGCGCTATAGCTATACAAACATTACACAAATAACTGGGGATTTACGACATCAAAGCCATTTCGGCATATCATAGCGTGTAATGTTAAAAACAGCAATAACTGGCGGCGGGACAGGTATGCCATGTATATATGCCTGTGCCTTGTATGCCTGAATGTGTCTCATATCTGGATCAGCTGCTATCAGGCGATCAGCTCCTAATCGCACCACTAATACATGACTTTCAAGTGGTCGCTCCACAATTGCAAAGGTAGCCGATGCTGATTGTGTGTGAATGCGTTTAAATACAATATCAATAAGCGTTAAAATACAGATGAATGCAATTATTGCAACACAACTGTTCACACAATCAAATACTAGAGCATAATATTGGCTACAACTATACGCCGATAGCGGGGCGACTACTGTGTACAGAATATCATAATATTATGAAATTTGTTGTCTATTTCTCTAATGATTGTGTAAACTACATTAAGCTCTTATACATGATAATCGATAATAATTATGAACTCAACAGTGATTTGGTTTGCGCTATACTTTTATATCAAACAGACTATCGAGACATAAGTACTAGTATTCTGTGGTGTGAATCACTGGCACTACCAGTGAGCCAAAAGCATAAGCACTTTGTAATACAAATTCTTTGAGTGATTTTTAAAAGAATTGTTTGAAAATGTTTTGAGTGTTGAATACAATAGGAATCGAGAATTTATTGCATGTATAATATGAGACACATCGGTGCGCCTATTATCTGAAGCACCGGGATTGAGTCATTTGCATGATAGCCAGCAACACACATACATACAGCCGTCCAGTGCGACAATAATAAGTAATGACAAGCCGTGAATATTGCCATTTTTACAGCCCTCCCAACAGTTATAAATTGATGAATATTTTCGCAGTGGGAGAGCGTGTGGTGAGACCTGCGAGCGGTCTGTCAGCGTGACTGACACTACACCACAGAATAGCATCGCTTCTATAGATATTGCCGTCCAATGTGTTCACAACATTGCCATCATATATAAGCATAACATGTCTAACCATATCAGCGCCCATACAAACTATCACTGCCATCAATGCACACCATTTACATTGCATGCCTGAGCGCTGGCAATCAGCCCTAACTAATTGGTGACACAAAACTATGCGATACTGTGCGCTAAGAACTGTGCATAACTATGGACAGTAAGAGATAGACAAGTGGGTGGACATACACTTACTGGGGTTGATCTGGTTCTGGTAGGACGGCTTCTTCATCCACTCGTAGGGACTGCGGGCCGGTTGGGGCCGATTAGCGCCGTTCGTGTTGTTCTCGCTTTTGATGACAGTTCCGTTCGGTGTTGTGGTCATAGCGTTGCTGTCGTTTTGGTGACCGTTCGGCGATTCCGTGCCATCACTCGACGCCGTGAGCCCGGAGTCGGGGCTGGGATGGACAGGCGTCGCCTCACTGCTCATCGGAGCGATTATACCAGAGTTCTGATAGGGATGTGAGTGATAGTGATGCGGGATATGGTGTAAGTGTTCACTGTATGGGTCGGCCCGGTGTACGCTGTGATAGGGACCCACTTGAAGCTGTTGGGCGTACGGCATGGCCGCGAACGCACAGGGTGGCAGCGAACTGACGGGTGAACCAGATATGCACGGACTGGCCCCTGATAGGGGAGACCCAGTGTTAGGTGCGGGCCATTCATCGAAGGGCGACGCGGCGACCATCGATCCCCTGCCCGCACATCCCGGTTGCGGTCCCATTGAGGACTGTATTGAGTACCAGGCGTTAGGGTGAGGGGCGCCCAGTGGTGGCGGCGGTGGCTGAAGAACCTCTGCAGGCATGGGCGGCAGTGGGGCTCCGATATCCTGCCCGTACGGCGATGTGGGCGATGAGGATAAGCCCAGATGTGTGGCACCGGACAGCGTGGCGACCGTCTGCCCGCCGGGACTGCCGTTACTGTTGTTGGTGTACAACGGATAGCATGTCTGGTCGATGGCGGACAGTGTGGTGGACGCGGACACGAAGCTGAAGCTCGGCGTCGATGTGGTGGTGACAGTGGGGTGGAGGCGGTGGTGAGTGGCTGTGGCTCCCGATGGAAACATATTAGAGTATGGGTTGTGGTAGAGAACCATAATATATTAGTGTCTGATGGCAACTACCGTCAACTACAATCAATCCCATCTATAAGTGCCACTCGAAAAGCCTATGCCATCGCAATCTCTTATGATGCCAGCGCCGTCCAATCAGCCCTATCCAGACACTCCCTCCGCTATCAACTGAGCCTTCCTATTGGGAATTCACTACAATGCCAGATATGAGAAGCGTTTGTCTTTGGAAAGCCGTTCCACTAAACCTACTAAACCAACTAAACCTACTAAACCTACTAAATGGTTAATTTATATTATATAACATACTATTTATTGAATGCAAACAAATGCGCTCATTCTCCCGCACGCTATGTATTCAACAATTAATTAAAAACTAATACTTCAATCAAGAGCTCTACCAATAATAAGCCCTAAGACTTGGTATCTCTGTGTTCACTAAATAATAACTTTTAATCTCAATATTTATAACTTTAATATACAAACGAAAACATAGTTTTTTTCGTATTTATTTATTTTCTTTCTAAAACATTGAGAGACAGAAAGGGAAAGGCGTTAATGTTTTGAGTAGACTTTTATTCTGACTTTTAGATTAAACTAAAGGGCTTTCATAGGAATTGTTAAGTATTGGCCCAAAACATTGACTTTCAATTTCGAGACAATCAGATAAAAGTGATAAAAACGTTATCACATAACCCGCGCCCAGAGCCCACTCCTGGACCAAAAGCCATGTCCAGTGAAGTCCATATTCTGAGGCATAGGCTCATAGAGTATAGCAATAGTAATGGCATATAATGTATAGTAATATAGAAATAAGTATTGAACGCAAGACTCAAAGACGGCTCACAACAGACTCGCCTAATGTGTAGGGCTTTGGACGCCTATACATATCGTCGGCACAGATAATAGAAATACAATGTAATGCCTGAGCATAGCCTCACTGTCCACATGATTACTCTGACAAGAGAAGGGGTATATGAGTGTTGACCTCACAGTCCCTCACAAACTGGAAACCAATTGAAGATTGTTTGGCGCCGACTATTGAAATACATTTCTCGATAAAGTGTAAGAAATTTCTCTCAATATATCTGTATATTTACAATACAATCACTGCGACGATGAGAGACAAAGTTAGAGAAACGAGGTCATCGTCTCTGTGATGCCAATATACAGTGCAGTATGTAGAGTATATCTGGGCTGCCGGTGCTCTGTAGTGAGTGGTCATCATAGGCACCAGCAGTTGGAACGTTAGACTGCATACTGTCATTATATTGCCTATCATAACCTGATTGTGCACTTAACAAACTCATTAGCTAATGAAACACCAGCTCATCAATCGCCATGAAATTAGCTCAGCTCAGCACCAGTACCACTACTACCATCATCCACCACTAGCCAGCACATAGACTGACCTACACTCCCTTCACAACTACATGCAAATACTTGTGCGGAACCCTTTGTCGCGCTATTGCCCACTATTTCTCGAAATTAGTTTAATTTGAAAACACTTTTATTAGTATTACATGTCATCCGAAAAACTCAATTTCCAAAATCGATACGTTTTTATAGATTAGGCCATCGTTTGCAAAATGTTATGCCTATCCATAGCTATACTGTTTGTGGATGTGATTGGAGTATAGAATACATTTTGGCCTAACATTTGTGTTTGTGAACCATAAATGTTGGATAATGTGTGGTAGAGCTGAGCGTTTGTCTGCATAAAGAGCACATACACCACGAAAAGCGTATACATAAACAGCATATACTTTATCGCATCCCCAGTGACTCGTATATTGAGCCGCAAATCTGCGGCAAAGAAATCAAAATTGTGGTAATGGTTTGCCAGACATTCATGCCTATGGATTCATAGCTACGAATTTCCATAGCCATAGCCTTTCCCTCAGCACTACATTAACAAGAATAACATGAACTCGAAAAGCATTTGAGCAAAAACTCAATCAAATAAAATTGATAAGTCTTTTGGTATTCAATGGGAGATTCCGACCATTAGGTCAGTGCTAACGATATATGCATTTCGTGTCCACTCGTCGCTTGAATTGAGTGGAAAAGTCAGTGATTCTGTATTATATGCGAAGGGGTTTCATGTGAGGCACGAGCCCTCGACCACTCAATACACTACTGTCTGCCAAAAAGAGAGAAAGAGAGCATAGGAGAGATAGGGGAGAGAGTGAGAGGACATCAAAGTGGTCGTCGCATACATGAGCCGCTCTCTCATATCTCTCCCGAGAGAGCGATTACTATTCCCTTCACTTCACTGCAAACGGAATGAAAAACTAAATTAATAGAATTGATACCAATTTCTGATCAAAACTATACACTTAATAATCCCTCAGTTCTAAGACTAGCACAGGACGGGTACCCAAATGTCTGCTCTAATTAGACGCGAGTCCAGCCATTGCCTGCCATACCATACGCAGGCCGACAGACAATGGGTTCAATACACCCTTAATTGTCGGCAAATATTATTTATAAATATAGTTTTCGTGTCTTTCGGCTCGGATTTACATTAATTGTAATCCTTTTATAGAGTTTTACTTTTAAATCCTGAGTTACACTTCACTAATGCTTTCCTTCTCATTGTATTCCATGTGTTAATCTTTACTGACTTTACTATCTCTTTGAATACTTCATGAATTCAATACTCGCGTCAATACATACTTAATATTATGTGTTTTGAAATGCTTTTTATGTTATCTAATATCAGTGCAAATATGACAATCATTAACAAAATTAATTATTTGTTTAAATGTGCTTTTGTAGTAAAAATTTAATTTAATTTCTATAACCGTTTGCAACTATTTTTTGATTTCATTGCAAAACTCATGACTTTTCATCTCTAATAATAAAAGAAACAGAAATAAAAAAATTTGCAAAAAATAAGAGATGAGATAATAATAGGATTCATGGAAGAAAAGTCCCTCAAATGTGACACTATTTTCATTATCAGTTCGTATGAATCGTTTGAAAAGCATATTTCGTGGACTGTTTTTTCGCTTCACTTCAAATACAATAAAAATTTTTCTGCAATTTTATGATTTGTTAATTATAGATAAATAACATTATATTAATTTACGATCCAATGATAATAGATAGAGAGCGCAATGGATAACAAACAAAACTCAAGTCTGGAAGTTAGTGGAGACACCAACTTATGACTTCTGATGAAACCTTTTTTAACTCAAAAAAGTGAACTTATTTTCCGTTCCGATAGATTAGATTTGTCCACTAATTACTGTTTGCTAGAAAGAAAATTAATTTTATCATTCATAACTAAATTACGAAAAAAATTTTACTTTAGTAGACTTTACTCCTAACATACTCTTTGAGTTAATTTATAATATTTTATTATAAAATGAATCTAAATATAAAAGTGACTACAAATACTGTACAATATTCATAAGTATGACATTAAGGTTTTCCCATTATGCCATTTAACTATTGATTACCTTTTTTAACAATAGTTTGTAAAATAATATATTTATTTAGCATGCAACTTTCTTATTCTAACTGCTTGTTATAGAGTTGTAAATTCTTATTCAACGTATAACTAATGTGTGCTAGTTCACACGTTAGGTATGCCAGTGCTGGCAATAGTGTACAAAATTGGTCCAAAACTGTGAAGAATTCATTGTATTCTACAGAATAACAGATATATTAAAGCATTCAATACTTTTGCAATGTTTTGAAACAAATTCTTAACACAAACACAACAATGCATTTACAGTACAAATGATTTTATACAAGAAAATTGTGTTTAAAATTTATTTTTATTTCATGTTTTAATAATATTTTAGATACAGTACAATAAAATCTTGTCTTTAATAATTAGTTTACATTTCACTTGTATTTACTGGCATTCAATTTGAGTGCATATTATATGAGTATTTATCGCAGAATTTATCGCAAAACGTAGAAAATAATAAAATATATATAAATTGGTTAAAGACTTTGTTCAATATACATAAGACTTTTATTTATTATGAAAACTAATGCAAACTAGCGTTAGAGTCGCATAGAAAAGGGTACAAAATAACAAAATTGTTTTGCAAGTTAAGTGAATAAAAGTTTATATGATTTAAAAATCTTATTTTTAATTTGTTGGATACGACTACTGGTTATGAACGGCTGTACGGTATAATAGAAAGACAACAATAAAAAGTTAAGACAAAAATAAGACATTAAAAAACGAGAAATTCCTTCGAAATGAGGGCTAAAACATAAAATCAGATAAAGAAGACAAAAAGGAGATCAGAATTTATGAAAACAAAATATTTGGTGAAAAACACGACTTTTTCACAACTTTTTGTCACATGTATTGCAAAAGGAATCGGTTTTTGTTTTGTTAGTTTTGCAATAAAACTAAAATATCGCAACCATTATAGTTAGTGACAAGTTTGGGATCAATAGGACCGCTCACATTAAACCAATTAGTGCCCTCTTAACTATTTCATTGCAGCCGGGCTTTTAGAGCCCCGGCCACTGCACCGACAGCTACATTGTCACGACTCTGGGCAGAGAGAGAGAGAGAGAGAGAGAGAGAGAGAGAGAGGTATTGGAGGTGTTGTAAAATATTCGCCAATATATCGGGGTGTTCGCCGAAATCCATATATCGGTGTCGAGTGAAGTGAACTTTTTATGCAAGGCTTAGACCCTCTTAGACCTGTGCGACCGCAGAAGTATCGGTGCTTTTTTGGGCACCGACTCATCGCATGCCTTATATCTATATATCATGTATTATTTAATGCATTAAAGAGTCTTATGTTTTGTTGGAAAGTGTGGTTGTGTTGGACTGGATGTGACATTAAGTAAATAAGTTGTAAATAGAAAATTCAAAGAATAAAAAGTCTTAAGCCTTAAGAATATCTGAATATCTAATAAAATAAAATAAAAAGAGATAACAATTCGGTTTGTGTTTTGTTTGCCATATACTAGTAGTGTATGTGAAGGACAGATCTCTTTTGGCGGATATTTGTGTAGTTTGTCTGTTGTTAACGTCATTCGTGAGT